AAAAAAAGTCGGAAAGTATCTCATTAAATTAATTGTACGTTTAAAAACAAACAGAGTCAAAATGGTACATGAAGTTGTAGTAACCTTAATTCACTGGAGAGTAAAAAAAAAATTGACCTATTGCTAGAACTTGATTATCTATGAGCATTGATTACATCAATCAGTGTCATGAAAATAACCAGTTAGTCAAAATTATGGTTAAGTCAATTGATATCATAAAAAAAATCAACTATTCTAACTATCAAGTAATCAAAATATTGCTATTACGATTTCTCCTTATTTTTTATTAATTCAAGGTTGTTATGATTAATTGAGTAGTGTCATTACTCACAAAAACCAAAAGTTAACATTTTCCTAAACTGAAAATGTATTTCCAATAGATACATACCTCCTGGCCTCTATAAGTGAACATTTTTGCTCACCACTAGCCTTGATACTCTCACCTACCCTCATATGTTTTCACATGAGACATCTGCATGCTGTCACGCAAATAATAATGCAGCAACTCTCCACCATTAGGAGTGTGACACAACTCCGATTATCGCATAGTGCCTTCTCTTCTGTGCAGCCCTTAATCACTTCGAGGTTGGGCAGTAAATACAGAACCAACACTGGAAGTGGGGAGATTGGGTGGGAAATGTGAGAAGAGGTAAGTATCTATTGGAAATACATTTTCAGTTTAGGAAAATGTTAATTTCTGATAAGATATCTTACCTCCTCTCACAAACAGCTAGAACCCCACATGAGTTGGAGGAGGGTCTGGCAAAAAAGATGATCCCCATTTAGAAAGCACCCAAAGAAAGACTATGGAATGTGCAAATAAATGGAAGGCAACACCCCTGTGGGAGACCATACCACTTCTGAGCTAGGTATACTCTTCGACCACATGAAAATGTGTTACAATCAGGCCTGGATTAACCATTAAACAAAATAAGCACGTGCTTAGGGCACCAAGGGAAGGGGGCACCACAGAGTTTTTCCAGTGCCAGATTTATCATGGTGCAGCTGAACTAGGGCCCCACAAAAAGGGGGCCCCCATAATAAATGAAAAAAACAACAACATATACATACATATACAACAAGAATGTTAATAATAACAATAAAATATTAGTATTAATATTATTATAGTATTGAAGAGGTTAATGATATATTTTAAACTTGCGAATACAACAAAATTGGAATCTGGCAACTGCCACACGGAGCAACCTCAATGGCTCATTCTGCTGTGAGTTAGTGACAGTTGTGCGGCAGCCACTGCCAGTACAGGTATGTGATGGTCTGTGTCTTGATTTAGCCGAGATGAGTGTTATAAACTATTGAGTGCTATAATCTGCAGTTTACATTGCTTAGGCAAAACAGTCATGTGTAACACTGATCATCATAAAACACCTTGAAAATTCAAAATATATATATACATTATTACCATTCTTATATGTATGTCATTTTGTTCGTTTACTGTGTTTTGGTTAGCATTTTGAACCAAGAAATTGGTATATTTTAACATGTGATATGACCTGAAGTAACAAGCAAGTTCCTGAATTTCTCATTAAAAGAAGTACTTTATATTAACAAAATGAAGGGGTAGATATTTTAACTATATAAACATATTGCGTTACTAAATAAAAGCGCAGTGAAAATTAGTTAAATAGAACTTGGTACAAATGTAAGTTAGCCTAGGCCTAGTTGTTACAATAAATTAGATTAAACCAAAATGGTTTAAGTTTTTTATAAATTATCAGATGTTGTAATACATGTTCTTAAATGAAAATATAGGTAACTTAGCCTATGCTATATTGTTCTTAAAGCAGGTACAGGTGGCTAAGATTTAGTGAATTTCCAAAGTCAATTCATTGAGTTACAAATTATCCATATACCCAGTGTTCAAACTTCAGTATGTTTGATGGTCTTACTAACGTTTTTTTTGCATGAATTTCAGTTTTTCTAATCATTATAAATATATATGATCCTTATTCTTTTGTGTTTTTTTATTTTTATTTAATTTTTTTATTTTGCGAAATGAGCTTGAGAACTAGTAAACAAGGTCAGGAGCCTAGTTATGTATGAATCATTGTCTAGAAAGTCACATGTATTACGAAATAAGCCTGTGAAATGAGCTTGAGAACTAGTAACCAAGGTCAGAAGCATAGTTATGTAAGGAACCTTGCCTAGAAACAAGATGAGTGCACTAGTACTTGTGATAGGTTGATGGATTACTGACCTCAACCCTTTAGAACTAAGAAAGCTACGAAAAACTTTGGTTTTAGTGAATCATATCGGCACTTTGAGGTAATATCAGTTACAGCACATGGGTGTAGCAATACAAGTGAATAGGTGGCTGACTAACACAACTTATCTATAACCTATTACTTGAGAGTTCTGGTTATGGTTTTGGTTTAGCCCGGGAATTCCCCTAAAGTATCCAATAGGAGCACAGGACTACTTGCTGTGTCCTATTTAGTAGGTCGAGATAATACCAAGAAAAGTTAGTTAAAAAAAATATGTCAGAGACTGAAAAATCAGTTCTCCAAGATTCAGAAAGAGTTCCTCCAGGAATCAGAAAATTCTCTCAGGAGTTCCTAAGTTCTGAAGAAATTCTGAACAATGAAGGTACCGAATGTGGCTAAGACTTCCAACAACTCAACTCTACTGTAAGTATAATCTCTCTCTCTTAATCAGCTAGTGTAGAATTATAGAAGATAGTAAATGTATTTAAATAAAAGTGTTTAATACAAGTATATAAGTGGTAATCCAATATAACTAATGTTCAAAGTTTGTAATGTTTTGAGAAGTTGTTAAATGTTAAATAAATGTTATTCTAAGTGTTCACCATTGGCCTGATACTCTATTTCTTTAGTCTAACTGTAAACTTCCTCGAGTTAGCGACTTGTGGCTCCACTCATCACGACAAATCCTCCAATAAATAAATTTGGTGTAATGAGTAGTTTTAATTGAAACTCCAACAATTAAGCCCACCAGGGCGCTACTCATTACACTACTCACCGAGACTCTATACTAACATACTTAACTTGGAGACATGGTTTGGGCTTGGGACGACAGTTGGAAAAACAAATTGAAGAAGAGTACAATTACTGGAAACATGTCTTCAGATGTGTAATAGTTGTTATTTGTATGTTAGCTGAACGTGGTATGCCTTTTAGAGGAACAGATGAAAGATTTGGGTCATCGCAGAATGGGAATTTTTTAGGGCTGCTTGAGCTCATAAGTCAGTTTGATCCATTTTTAGCATGCCACATTTCAAAATATGGGAATTATGGAAAAGGAAATCCTTCTTACCTGTCCAAAACCACCTGTGAGGAACTCATTGAACTAACAGCTCAAAAGGTCCACGCGCTCATTGGTTATTTTAGCTTGTCAGTTGACTCAACACCAGATCTATTACATATAGATCAGTTAAGTGTTGTACTTTGATACTTAAAAGATGGGCAGCCTATTGAATGCTTTTTAATCTTTCTGGAATTAAAAAGCCATACCGGTGAGGAAACAGGTGTTGCAGTACTTACGTGAAGTTTGCAAACTGAATTTTCCAAAATGTAGGGGTCAGTCCTACAACAACACTGCTAACATGTCTGGGTGTTATAAGGGGCTGCAGCAAAAAATTTTAGAAGAAAATAAGTTTGCCATATATGTGCCCTGTGCAGACTATTCACTAAATCTGGTAGGCTGAAGTGATGTTAAATGCTGTCAAGTGGCAATTAATTTCTTCTCTAAAGTGCAATTGCTACATAAATTTTTTCAGCCTCAACCAGCTGGTGGAAAATTCTTAAAGTTTGTCTTGGAAATGAAAGTGTTTTAAAATCCCTCTCTGATACCAGAAGGGAGGCACATGCTATGGCAACAGCAGCAATTCTGAAGTTTTTCTTTAAGATTTTGGAATCTTTAGAATGTCTGGCGGAAGACCAGTTACAAATGAGAGACACTAGAAGAGAAGCAGACAATTAAAATCATAAATAATATTCAACATTAAACAGTTTAAAGTTGAATATTATTTATGATTTTAACTTTATACACAAGTGCCAAAATACTATAAGAAGTAAACAATATTGCAAATAAGATGCAAGAGCTAGAATTTGTTTTTATATTGAGCCTTTGGAATGAGATTTTGCAAAAGTTTCATAGAGCAAGTCAAGTTCTGTAAAATGAGAATGTGAAGTAAAAACATGCACAGATCTGTATGGGTCATTAGCTGACCAACTGTGCACTTGAAGAGATGACTTTGAAATATTTGAAGCAATTGCAAAGGAAATACTACCAGATGTTGATTACAATGCAGCTCAAACTCGCAAGCGTATCAAATAAAGGTACTCAATGATGGAGATGCATCAGAATAAGTCTGCAGGGTTCACACAGACCTTGAAAAGTCCTCGAATTTAGGTCTATCCTTGAAAAGTGTTTGATTTTCCCATGCAACCTTGTGAAAAGTCCTTGAATTTTGAATTAAGAAAAAATTTTTTCCTATTTGTACAAATACCACTACATCTAGAGTGTTTGTATTAGCATGGGATAAATCATCAAATTTAATATAATATAATATAAAAAATTAAAAAATCACATCGTTGTTTGAGTGCTGGCCGTGTGTTTTCAGTTGCATATTTACCGCTGTCCACACTCCGTCTTGGCAAATTACGGAAATTGATATGTTTGGCAGTTTCCAAGTGAGTCACATGATGAATGGTGCATGACCTTGCACCACTTGTATTATAATGCAAATATTTGAATGCGATACCTGCAGGTGTTTCTACTTTTAACCATGCATGACTCTTAGATACAAACTTAAAGCAATGGGTTCGAGAGGTAAAGGGACACACACTTAAAGGATTGTGTGCAATTTGCAACAAAATTATCAATCTCTCCTCAGTGGGATTGAGTGCCCTGACTTCACATTGTAAAAGTGAAAAGCATAAGGATCTTATGAAGGTCACAAATTATGGGGGATTGCATATGTTTTTTGGTGGAAAATCGAAAGAAATTAGACCGAGATCTGTTCAATTTACGACAGCAACTGGATAGTGTCCGTAGTAGCAGTACCGGTGGTAATGCCAGTGACAACGACGATGTCAATGACAGTGGTGATATTGACGAGTCAAGCAATTTGAATCCTACTAGACCTAGTACTAGTGCAAATAGTACTAGTACACTCAATAAGTCTAGCTCTACACCAATATTGTGCACTAAAAATAATGTTCTTAAAGCAGAAATTTTGTGGACACTTTACACTGTGTCAAAACATCATTCATACAAATCTAATGAAGAAATTCCATTATTATTCAGCCAAATGTTTCCAGACAGCAAAATTGCAAAACAATTCAGTTGTGGAGAAAAAAAATCAGCATATTTATGTGTTTGGACTAGCTGAACATTTCAAGAGTTGTCTTATGGATGGCTACTACACTGTTCTTTTTGATGAGAGCCTAAAAAAGGAGTAAAAAAAACAACAAAAACAGATGGATGTACATGTGCACTATTAGACAGACAACAGAGTAGTTACCAGCTACTTGGATTCAAAATTCCTTGGTAAGGATAACAATTAGCATTTCTTTATTTTTGATTAGACCCTATATAATTAGAAACATAAATTAAAAAAGTTAAATAGATAGATAATGTCTTACTAATTCTAACCTCTAGGCCTGTTTCTCGGTTATTGGGAACCGGTCTGACTCGAATAAATGATTTGCAAAGAAAATAAAAACTTAGATTTTATTTATTAAAAGTTTATAAACATTCTGTTAAAATTTTATAAACAGTATGTTGCAATTTATTAATTTGTATGTGTTTTTATTTTAGGTCATGCAACTGCAGAAGACATGGTTGCGCATTTCGAAGAAGCAGTAGAGATTTTGAAAAACCCAAATAAGCATGACATCATGAATAAAAAAATGTTGAATGACTTCCAGTCATCTCTGGTGAATATTGATTCCTGTGGTCTTCACGTAGTGAACAACAGTTTTAAGACAGGGGTAAAAGTTTCCTCATGGGCCATAGATTCTTTGTTGTCTGCACTATATTATTTGTTCAAAGATTCTCCAGCAAAGACGGAGGACTTTGAACTTTTGACCAAGAGTTCCAGGTTGCCACTGAAGTTTGTCAACTGCAGATGGCTGGAGAACATACCAGTTGCTGAGAGAGCCCTGGAAGTGTGGGATAATATAGTAAGGTTTGTGGGAGCAGCTGAGGCTAAAAAAAGTGATCAGCCAACATCAACATCCCATGCGATCATTAAAGAGAGTGCTGGTGACAAGCTCATCAAGGTAAAGATTAATTTCTTCCAGGTGGTGGCTGGAGAAATGCAGCCATTTCTTCAGAAGTACCAAACGGACAGGCCATTGGTTTGCTTTTTGTCGTTGACTTATCTTGTATGGTAAGAGGATTGATGAGAAGATTTATAAAGGAGGACGTTCTCACTGCTGCTAACACCACAGAAAAACTCATGGACATTGACATTAATGAAAAAGCAAATCATGTAAACTACAAGAAAGTTGACATTGGTTTGATGACCACCAAAGCCTTGAAAGATGCAAGTGGTGTTTCTTAGAGAAGACTGTTGGAATTCCGAATGGAATGCATATCATTTCTGGTGGCAACTCTGGAACAAATAAAGGAAAAATGCCCATTGTCATATTCACTGGTAAGGTCATTGTCTTCTCTGAATCCAAGACAGATGGTCCAGCCTGGGAACCAGTACTCATGTAGAACCAAATTCAAAAAAGTGGTTGATGTATTATGTAGTACAAAGAAGGTGAAAGAAAATGATTCAGATGAAATTGTAAAGGAGTATTCTAATTTCCTTGAAAACATCCCATGCGTTGCATCTGAGAAATTCACTGCCTTCAGTGTCAATAATGATAGAGTTGATGAACTGTTAGCTGGTTTGCTGAAAGATGATGAGAACTATGCAAAATTCTGGAATGCTGTGCAGATTTTGGTGTTACTGAGTCATGGCCAAGCAGATGTAGAAGATGGGTTCTCTGTGAATAAGGAGGTTGAAGTGGAGAACCTACATGAGCAGTTACTAGTGACACAGAGACTTGTGTGTGATTATGTGGTAAAGGAAGGTGGTGTGACTAAAGTACCAATAACTAATGCTCTGCCGATTTCTGCAGTTATGTCAAGACAAAAGTACAATATCTACCTAGAAACGGAAAGAGAAAAGATGAAAACAGAAGCACAACAAAGAAAGAGAAAGAATGTTCTAGAAGAAATAGAGGCCATCAAGAAGAAGAAACTTAGGCTGAACCAGGACATTCTCTCTCTCACAAAATCAGCAGATGATTTGGCAGAAAAAACAGGCAACCTCATCCTTGTAGTCAAGGAAGAAGTGCAAAGGAAAAACAACAGGAATTAAATGACATTGGGAAACAGTTGGAGCCAAAATTAAGTGAACTTACTCAGTGAACTGCTGGATTCATAAACATTATATTTTGTTTACCAGGGTACTTTTCATGTTTAGAAGTTTAAATTTTTTGCATACAATTTATGAAAAATTTTCATAATAAAGACATGTTATGAAATTTATATTAATAAATATCTTTGTTTATATTATCTCTAAGCATTAAATCAACATAGTCAGATTTTCCTTGAGAAGTCCTTGAATGAAATCCACAATTCTGTGTATGAACCCTGGTTTGAATGTCAGAGATAAATTTTGTATCCCAACTTTTTACACAATTGTTGACAAACTAGAAACTCGAAGGAGAGGAGAGGTGTACAAAGAAATAGCGGACATATTTTCTTGACTAAGTGATGTGCCAAATAATGTCACTTCATCTTCTACTGAAACTGAAAGGTACTCTCAGTGTTGTCAAAAGCTAATTGATGTTTACCCAGATGAGTTGAACACTCTGCTGAGCTTCAGCAATTTCACTCATTAGTGCCATAAGTTCAGTGCAACAAAAAACCAGATTCAGTCATGCTGAACTTTATTAAATAATTGGAGAAGACAATATTGAGTGTGCGTTTCCAAATGTTGAGATTGGCTTGCGTATATTTTTAACATTAATGGTCACAAATTGCACAGCAGAGCGTTCATTTTCTCAGTTGAAGCATATTAAAAATCCCAACAGAACAACTATGCGACAAGACAGGCTAGATGCATTGTATCTGCTAAGTATAGAAGCAGATTTGTTATGCCAGATTAGTTTGAGGACTTGATCAAAGACTTTGCAATAAAAAAAGTAGGAGAAAACTTTTTTTAAAGGTATAAATAAAATTATAAGTAGGCAACAATAAGCATTATTTTGCATCTTTTGATCCATGTATTTTGGAATGCTACATATCTTTAAGGTTAAAAAGCAATAAAATAAAAGATGTTTTGTTCGTACAAATAATGATATTTCTTCATTAGAATTTCTTTTTTCTAAAATTGACCAACAACATCGATTTCTGTAGAAAGAATTGTTTTCAATAAATTTTTGTATTTGTCCTTTATAACAGTTTTTTAAAAAATGAATAAAAAAGTGTTGAAAATTTGCATTTTTTCCTATTGCGCTGGTTATAAGTAAATAAAATCCAAAAACAGGTTATATTTAATATAATTGTGGGGTCTGGCCTGGAAGAAAACTGAATTTTTAATCTATTATTTCACATTCAGCACTTATTGAGTCTTAATGTCTTGTGAGTTAGACAATGGAAGGGTCGAGGGGGAAACATTGTTGGGGTGTGTTTGGGGCATCAGTTGGCCTTAATCCGGCCCTGGTCACATTAGGGTGGAAACAACGGAGGAACCTACATCACATTATCATGCATTCACAACCAGCACTATATCTGCCAGGAACCAACATTTGGGGGAAGGTGGATAACAAAGTGGGGGTGCATCTCCAGTCCAGAACCAGACAGTATCAAGAATGTATCACCCAGTATGTGAAGGATAACTGGTCACACATGTGTGAAATTAAAGGACTCCTGGTATAGAGTGGCCAGAGCGTGTTAGACTGGAAATGGGATAATGACTTCAACAAACACCAGGCAAACCATGATACAAATATTCAACTCGTGGTAGGAAGAGGTAACTCTACCTTTCACCTCCGGTGTAGGTATAGGCAGGGAAGAGGAGTCTCTGTACCAAGGACCCATTTAAACATGTGTGCACATCCAACACAACCATCACCATATCCACTGGGAACTGACATCCGAGGAATGGTAGGAAGGTGGAGAGCAAAGTGAGGGTGCATCTCAAGTCCATCACCAAGCTGCATTGGGAATGTATCATCCAGTCTGATGTAGGATTAAGGTACTCTGCCACATGTGTGAGTACTCATGTGGCATATCTGCTGTACTCATATCTACTGGGAACCGAAATCCAGGGAAAGGTAGAAAGGAGGGTGTCTCAGTCAGTGGGACAAAATGGTATTGGTGGAATGCATCATCAACATGTGATGGCATCTGGAATTGTACATCAGGTATGCAGTAGAATGAGCATCTATGTAATCAACAACAGCAGAAAACCACCACTCTACTGTCAACTGAGTGGAACTGAGCACACTCAGGAGGAAGCCTCCATGATCCACCACCACCCCAGCAATTAGGAACTGGTAAGTGGCAAGGACCCCCATACACCATCAGAAGAATGGTAGAAATAGCGCATTGAAGAGTCTAGACAGTGCAATGAGTAACTGTTATGATTTATTTCGAAAAGCAAGCTGATCTTGTGACCTACAATACACATTATCATATGGGATGGGCAGTAATCCTTGTCTGTTTTACTTATGTTAGTCCATGAGTGTATGATCCGGAATGAACATATCTATGAAACAAAATACAGCAAGGCTGACCTACTAGAAGTCTTGTGGTACATTCCATCTCGACGGTGGGTGTATATGACACACAGGTCTTATAGTGCAGATTTAAGAATAAGTATACCTCACCAGGCAAACTCACCACTGAGCAGGATTCAATTATGTTACAAAGGGCCCTGCAGAAAAAAAAAGAAAAAAAGAAACACCCACTCAAAGAGAAATCATGGAGTGCATAATGGCAATGGAAGGAAAACGAAACTTTGTATAACAAGCAACAGCCATGTGGTGAAGATAATGAGCAGTAAAGGTATGGGGAGTGGGTCATATGAGAGGGATTCCAATGGATAAATAATGGGAGTGAGAACAGCAGAAGGGATCAGAGTGCACAGAATTACTCACCTGAACAGCTGCAGTGTGGGGTAGAAAGGATAATTTGGGAAAAGGATCACATTGCAAAATTGAAACATTCATATGGAACACAACCTGTGGCTGAAAGAGGAACATAAAGGGAAAACAAGGATGCCACGTGCTGCAAAAAACCGAACTGCCAGGCCACGAAATGGACAAAAACCATGCATGAAGATGAAGAGTGGGAATAGACTGATAACACACTCTGGACCAGGGCAGTCATAGGAGGGTGTGATGAGGGAAGAGGGAGAGGAAGATGAGGTGACACCAGTAGTCAGTGCAGAAGTGGAAATCACAGTAAAGGCACATACAGAATCCAACTCAGAGTGGTCTGAATGATGGAGAGGACCCAGAGAAGCAAATAAATGAGAAGGTAGGCATAGACCCATTCAATCCTTACTGAGTGCAACCAATGCTACTGGTAAATGATATGGAACAAGAGACCAAAACAAGGGGAGCTAAGAATTGAGATGAATGATAAAGGCAACCATATTCAGAAACTCCCCAGGGCACAGAGCCCCTGAAATGCTCGTGGGTCCAGTGAACACTCCATTGGGAGAATCCTGTTGGGATGTAATGAGATTCAGGGCATCTGGAATATGACAAGTAAATACAAGAATCCAATGGCTGTAGCAAAACACATGAGGACCAGTGGCCAAAAACAGAGATCACATAACCAAACCCCTTGCTGAAGATGTATGGCACAACAGTTGAGTTGTTAGAAAGCACCATCACCGACCAGCCCTGAGGGGCTGGAAGGAAATGCACCAAAGCCCAACAAACTGCAAGGAGCTCCCAGGATTTGAAAAGTAGAGAAAACTCTGAGAAGGTCCATTGCCCCCAAACCTCCTGAGCAAACAGATAAGCACTCCAACCAGAAATAGAAGCATTTGTAAAAGGTGGTGTTCCAGCTGAAGAGGAGGAGAAACACCTGTAGGGGTGTTGTCCTGAACCAACAACCAGGCAAAGTTGGTCAGTAAGAAAAGAAGAAGGATGAGAGGGGTATCCAAGGGATTCCTATGGACCCACAAAACCCACTGAAGGCAACACATTTGATCACAACCAAGATGGATGAGGGTTTCCTGAGAAGCTCACATCCCCAAAAGAGACAAAACCTCTTGCTCCATGGGAGAAGGAGAGCTGCAAACTAGAAACACCATAGCCCTCAACCAAAGGGGAGAACTTTGGACTCAACTGAGAAGGGAATTAAACAATACCCCAAGATGAACTAGGTAGTGCATGGGGGTGAGAAAAAATGTATCCACCTGCACCAACCATCCAGCATGAGCCACTACTCTTAGAAGAAATGGAATATGAAAGACAGAGTCGGCCTGTGAGGAAGCCAATCGTCCATGTAATGGTGGAAATGAAGGTTTCACGAATAAAAAATACGAGCAAATTCCCAGGCCGCCTGATAAAAATGTAGGAAGCCAAAGCAAGTTTGAATGAAAGAATCCGGACTGAAACACACACCCCTTGATTGACAAAACAAAGATAATGGCAGGATTCAGGGGAGATGTGAATGTGTAGGTATGCATCCAACACATCTACCATTGTCATCTACAATGCAAGAGGGAAAACCCAACAAAGGGTTAAGTATGACTTCATGGTGAAATGTGGGAGGACCAAGAAACAGGTCAGAGCTGACAGAGCACCAGTTCACATTTTTTAAAATCAGGCTGTTTGGTTTCCATCTAATCTCAGTTGAATACTTATTCCAAGTTCTTTGGTTTGTTTCAGAAAAAATCACACTGGAATATCTTTTGTGTCCACTGCGTGGAGTAAAGTAAAGATATGACAGTATAATGGGCCAGCCTCAAACTTGTGACCATCAGACTATGAGTCAAAAGTGCAAACCTACTGAGCTACATTGCCCATTGTAGGCATGGAAAAGGAAACTAAAGTAGTGGGATCTACTCCCCACAAAGAAACAAGCATATCCAAATGCTGTAGTACAAGTAGGGAAAGTCAGAATGATGACATATCAGAGCATGGTCATCCAAAGTATGTGAGAGTAAAGGTATACTGACATACAAACTCAACTGGGCCCCAAAATGACTCGCATGAGGTCCAATATCCAGATAAAGTTAGGAAAATGCTAAATACTGACCCAATGACTCATCACTGAGAAGGGCAGGAGCAGAATCAAAGGAAGCTGGAGATAAGGATAAAATATACCTGATGGATTACATCTACTAATGGGAAAGGAGGCCTGGACACCTCCCTCAAAACAAAATGCAATTTTGAGGCACAGACAAGAGGAGGAAACAGGCTGTACAAATCCTCATTGTCATGTTCAGCCAAACTCTCACAAGGCACCAGAGGACAATCATCAGGTGCTCAGAATCTCACATAAAAGTAGCCAACTCCCTATGAACTAGAACCATTACTTCCTGGGTAGATAAAGCTTGCTTAGAAGTCATTGAAGTGGCAAACAAAGCACCTGTAGTAGTTACAGCATCTTTGGTAGATGCCATACGGAATTGTGCATGAAAGACGAGTGAAGCTGACTGGGAAAAAGGATAATTTTATCTAAAATAAAATAAAATCAGTCTTACAATATGAGTGAAAACACGTCCATCTACAAGTGATTAAGGGCTGTGCAGAAGAGAGGGTGGTAGTGACGATAGGAGTCATGTCGCACTCCTATTGGTGGAGGATTACTGAATGATCATTTGCATGATAGCATGCAGATGTCTCATGTGAATACACGAGTGTAGGTGAAAGTATCAAGGTTAGTGATGAGTGTAAATTTGCACTTTTTGAGGGCAGTAAAAGTCAAGAAAAGCAATTTGTGAGAGGCAGTAAGATATCATATTGAAAATTGGTGTTTATGATTATAACTAATTTTGATTATTACAACCATTCAAGTCTCGTGAAAATAATCAAATAGTTGAATGTAATCGGTTAACGAGCTTGAAGACTATTTATTTAGCAAATTCCACTAATTGTCCAGCTCTACATATTATCTCAGTGTTAATGTATATCACACATTCACAACTCCTATACCAAAGGTCAATTTCTAATCAAGACAAATGTAACCCATCATAATACATCCAAAGAATAATATGCAAAGCCAGTTTACTGTTGCATGTGCTATAATGTTATAGAAAATCCAGTTCATTTCTAACCAACATACATTTGTTTTTATATAAACATTTTGTTGTACAAATAGCAGTAAAGGTGTTCATAGCTATAATTACTTAAAGAACAGTTTTGGTTAGTCATTATTTTTTATGAAGAAAAGAATCCTTAAACTGAGAATTGTCATAGTGAATGTTGAAAACAAAATTAATTGCTGCACAAACAGCCATATGCATATAGCCATCCCAAATTTTGAACTGATAAATTAAAAGGAAGGCTAGTTGTCAAAGCTAATATCATTAACTCTTTGGCTACTCTTGTCAAACCAAATAGTGAGATGTAATTGTTGCTCTTATAGTGCACCCAATGCACCAAAGTGCAGACCATGTTTTTGTAGCAACAGGATGCAATCCATGTAACATCAAATTCACAGTCTATATCTTTTTTTCTTCTTCTCTTAAACTTCTTTAAAAATATTGAGTTTTTTCCCCTTGGAAGAAGTATTTTAAAAATATAGCTATCGAATAAAGAAAACTGTGTATGTGACAAATAACCTGTATATTACAAACATTACCACTCCTATTTAATATGTCACTGGCCTAAAGTTAACTTACAATTTCAGTTTTCTTCAGGGGAAGTTTGAAGATTTATAACCAATAAAACTAGAAGGTCCTAAAAAACTTGATAACAATAATAATAACACAAAACAATGCCTACTAAAAACATAAAGTTTGTGATTTTTAAATGTAATAATTAAAATAATGAAGACTATTCTTTTGAAAATAAAAAATAATAGAATAATAATATATTATGAATTTATACCTACACATACATATGGTAAAATACCAAACTTAAATATACAGATTAATACATATAACATTAAATAAATACATTACTAAGTATAAAAAATACTTATTACAGTTTATGTAAAAAAAAAATCAATGGATCTCACACAAAGATTACATGAAAAGAAGCAACTATTTTGAACAACCAAAACATATCAGCAAGATTTCCCAGTGCATTTGATGATAAAATTATCTCTAAATTATATATTCTTATGAAAAGCTTTAAATTTAACAGATATATTTTATAAATAATTCTCTTGTTTAGACTTAAAAGAAACATTTCCTCAATCATTCTCTGGTAAAACCTCAGAATAAAAATAACTAATTATAAAAGCAAGTTTTGCTGATACCACCAACAAAACAGTAACACACCACAGACAAGGTAGTTCCTAAAATGAAAATGTCTGGCGATGACACAAATCCATTTACTGATCTGAACTAATCAGAAGATGTAGGCCTATTCAAGTTGCTGAGCCAATTTCACCTTTAGTTGCCATGGCGAGGTTATCAGAAATATTCATCTGAAAAATTTTAGTTAAAGATTTTAAAATATGCAAAATAACTTTATTTGGGTCATCAAAAATATTCTGTAATTTATTTTTTCCACTTAAAACACATTGAATAGAAGTATTTAACATACTTTACAATTCCTACTCCACAGAACCATTTGTCATTGTTAAGCTAGAAGAAAGTGATATTCAATATGGCACACATCATGTGTACACAAAAAGTTCATGTATATGACTGATGTGCTTTCCTCTAGAAAACTCTTTGTTTGTTTCTAGTTATGCACAAAGCTACACAATGGGCTATCTGTGCTCTGCCCACCACTGGTATCGAAACCCAGTTTCTAGCATTGTAAGTCTGCAGACATACCACTGGGGGGGCTGGTTCATAAAATCCTCGTGATTTATATTCGAAATATGTTTGATAAGGTGGCCACCTGGAAGTTGTTATGGCTTCACTTTGAAGTTGCTTGATAACGTTAGAGCTAGTCCTTTTAAATTTGCAGCAAAGATTAAATTATTTGGGAATTATTTTAAAATATGCCTGATACGCCTCCCATGGTACTTTCCATCATAGGCTGTTCGTTTCTCAATTAGGTGATGCTGTTGAATTGGTCTAGTAATTTCCACAACTTGATGAGGTAGTGGTGTATCTGAAGTAGTTCAGAAATGTTTTGCAGTTATATATTTCACATCAGTGGTAGTAACAGCCAGAGGCCAGGTGGATTCTCTTACTTCATATGGCCTAATAAATGATGTGTGCTGTTGAAATGCTTGGAAAGATGCAGAGAGAGGTGTGGTTGGTTTGAGGAGGTGTGGCTGGTTTGATTCTTGCATTTACCATTTGAGTTTCTAGATTATTTTCTGTGGTATTGATGTTCTTTTTAACATCTTTTTTATTTCACTGATGTTTTGTATTTTTTATATCCTTTTGTCTTTTTTTAATTTTGTTATTGTCCTTCTGGACATTTTCTATGGCTTATTCGACCTTGTCTCTGATCAGTTAGATTTTTGTTAATGTTTTATTATTGATATTCTTATTATTGTTGCATGATTATCATTAAATTTTCAAACTTATTTCGAGACGTGTTGTCATTTTCAAATTCAGTCTTGATTTGATTTTATCTGTGCTAATACAATTTTACTCCTAAGATTAGTGTATTAACAGTTGCTATTGTTGGTAGGTTCTTTTAGACTATGAAATAAAAAGAAGAATGTAAAGTTCACTCTCCTTAATGATGACAAATTTGCCTTATTTCTTGAATTACACGTTATATAAGTTAGCTTGACTAATTTTCACTGATAGGCTGGAATTCACAGTAGATGATAACACATTTTCACTTACTTGCCAATTTCTTACACTACACAGTGTTACTCCATCGAGAAAAATATTACAATACTGAACTAACTGACTAACAAACAAATTCAATCAAATACAATTGACCATTTCGGATTCAAGGTAATTACTAACATACTGAAAAATCAATACATCAACTCTAGCCTGACTAGCACTTTATACTGCTTAAAGTGTTTTAAAACTTTGAAGAAAATTCTACACTTTAAGCCACGCATGCAGCACGTGACGTCAACCTTCCTCAAGCTAAACAATAATGCTGTTATAAGCTATATTTTTTAATGTTGTAATATGTTTCAATTTAGTTGTTGGCTTGAGAGTGGTCATATTAAGATCAGTAATTACTAGAATATTCTTTAATATTAATTAACTAGAGTTTTTGAGAAACCCTTACAACAAGGATAAGAGTATAGATACGGGTTAGCCAGAAAATTCAGAAAGTAAGCTGGCAGTGAAACAATGAAGCATCAAGATGATAGAGTTGTTTTCTAAATGGCAGAGTGAACTATCGGTGTGCTTATGTTCATGAATCTGTGTTAGCTATGACACATATTAAGTTATTTTGTACAAGTAAGTTGATTTTTGGAGTAATGCAAACAATGTAATTGTAAATGTAGGCCTACAGCATGTTACAAAATGTATACACCTCTAAAAAAAAGTTAAGGAAAAATTAAAACCAATTTATTATTGCCATGTGGACCGGATGTTGAATTATTTTCACCAGCTAATTCAAGAGAACCTGCCAACGAAAGAACCATACTATAACACTTATGTCAGAAGTGGGATTATTTTGGTGAAGATAAAAATAAATTTCAACTGTGAAGATGGTAACCACAAGGTCAAGGACTGAGAACAAAGCATTACTTGAGATTATGAAATTATTGTAATTAGACCTTGAACATTGAGAAAGGAAATTTAAAAAAGACCAGGAAAGAGATTGAAAATTATAAGGCAAAAAAGAACAAGACAGAATATTAGAAGAAAAGGGTTGAAGATAAAAAGGAGACCTTAAAGAAAACCTGGAAAACAAGAGAGAAAATTAGAAGAAAGAGATAGAAATTAAAATAAAGAGATATAAAATTAAAAGAAAACCAGGATGAGCAGGAGAAAAATTAGAAAAGAATGAAAAGAATTTAAGGGAGGGGTTAAAGGAAAGAGACGTACTACTTAAACAGGAATCAAATTCAAAAATAAATCTGATTGCAGATAAAGCTGATGAAGCTATCGGAAATGTACAGAGAGATTACAAAAATAAGATTGAAAAAATATGGAGAGACCATAATAAAAATTGATGGAATAAATAACAAAGTACAAAACTGTATGAATGAAGTAATGAAAGATGTTAATAAGGTAGAAAAGAACAGCAGTGACGTAATAGAAAATTTGAAGAACGAATTCTTAATTGTAAATATTAGATAAGTTATAGTTCTTTTTGCAATAACTCAAAAGCTTCAACCTAAAACACAATCTACTATAAAATATGGAATATGGGAGCCGATTTGGTCTACACCTATTACCACTGCTGCTATTCCATCTGTTACTGAGAGATCTTCCTTGAATACTCCAGCTATGACATGACCAAATCAAGCTCTAGAATTTAATTCACCAATTCAGCATCGAACAACTGAAAAAACAATGGACTATGAAGCACATTAAGCTCAATTTGAAATAATTTCAAAAAATGTTTGGAATAGTGAACAAGAAGTTTTCATCTTGCTGTCCATTTGAAAATAACAGCTTTGAAAACATAAAGTGATCTTTCAACTGAATGACATAACAACTATCAAGTATTGATAGCCATCTTGTCCAACAGGTTTGGAGTATTGCACCAAAAATAAGTATCCAGAGCAAAGTTCTGAAACAGGGTACAGAAGGAAAATACTTTAGCCGAGCTTGGTAAATATTTGGAAAGGCTTGCCCTATTATCTTACCCGAGATGATCCCCATGAAATGACGGCCTCATAGGCATGTAACCAATTTGTAGATGCCATGACAGAAGAAGATGTGAGAATCAGGCTGAAGCAAAGTAGATGTAAATATTTAAAGGAATTTCTACAGTGGGTGATGGAACTATAATCCATTGAGGTCACAGATAAAAAGCTAATGACACCGACTCGAAATTATGGGATCATCAGATCAAGTAATATTGAAATACCAATGCACACAGATGACAATGTAGAAAAACTAAAAGGTTTGGTTTTGACAACTAGTTACATGGAGCAAAAGGAATAAAACACAGGACAATAGATTTTTAAATGTAGCTTGAAGAGAAATATTTTAAAGAACTGCAGGCAAAGTCTGTACGGAATATAAACCCTCTCAAATGATACCAGAAAGATGTAACTATGATAAATGTGGGGAAGCTGGCTATTACTATTCAGAGTGTAATAATAAAAATCATAACATTTCTGAAATGTACCAAAATTATATAAATGATACATCTCCATATGAAAGGTTCATTAGCAGTAGTGTCCAGAATGTTTATTTCTTTGCTTACCTTAAGTAGGACATTGAATTATTGGAAAGGGTTTAGAGGGCTAGTAGGATAACACCCGGGATGGAAATGTTGTCATACAAGTATAGGTTAATATATCTGAAGTTATTTTCTTTAAATAATATAGTTAGAGGGGATATTATTGTGGTGTTTAAGATTGCTAAGGGAATTTGTAATGTTGTTGCATTATCTTTTTTCGTACTTAATGATGAAAACAGTAGGAATAGATGACACAGTTATAAGTGTTGGCAATGTAGGAATTATCCTCAGCTAAGATAACTTTATTTTTCTAACAGGGTGATTGCCCTTTGGAATGGATTGCCTACAGATGTGATGGATACGGTTAATTTAAGAAAGCTTAACTGAAGGAATATTTGTATGATAAGGGCTCACTTCAAGTATTTTATGTTTATTTTAAAGCTTAGTTTAGTTGATAGGATGGCCTAGATAGACAAACAGGTCCCTTATTGTCCTGAGATTGTTTGAATATATACGTAAGTATGTAGCTGTGTTGGTAAATCTTACATGCTCTATTATAAGTCATGTTAGAATTAAATAATACTACTACTACATACGAGCTCAAGTGAGTTGGTTTACTCGAAAACATTTTGAAGGAAAAAGCCAGTTCTTCAGTTTATGAGGCTAGTAGAAGGTGACCATCCAGTATTAGAATGCTAATACAATATTGTGTTTGTTCATTAATTTGAATAGAAATTGTTTTCATTTTGTATAACACATTGTGTTTATTTCTTTGCTTAAACTCAATCACTGTATTATGTTCTATTGTACGCAAGGTTATCTGTTTTTATTTTCCTATGAAACATCTTTGTTGTTATTTAAAGTCAAACCTCTGGTGGTGTAACTGTCATATAATACATGGGAATGTCCTGGACACAGACTATGAAGGTTCTGCATGAAGTTCCCATGTTTACTTTTTCTATTCATTTTGATATCCATATCTTCAACACTTCTAACAGTTTCCTTCTCTTCTCATCCTTTGGAAGAAGTTTTTAGATACATGCCATTTTAAGTTACAGTAGAAACGCCTTTTATTTTATGGTTTACTACCTACATCCTGGCAGTTAGGACATTCACTTGCAATTTGTGGCTTGTGGGTTCGAATTTCCTTCACCAAATATGCTTGCCCTTTTAGACGTGGGTGCATTA